TGTATCTGCGTAATTGACACTGTACTACATTTTTTTCTTCCCCGTCGTAAGATCAAACGTACAATTGAACTGAAGACAAACTGTACACTCTTGCTGTTATCCGAGTGCCCTCTCTGTATTCCGCCCCGCTGCCGCACGGCCAGCCACACGCCTAACCGTAGCCAAACGCGCTGCTTGTCTGCGTCCTCTCACTTCTAATGGTTCTCTTCCGCTGAGGCTATGGTTCTGACGCAAATGCTGCACCTTGAGGATAGACAGTGCGAAGTAAGAGACGGCACCGGGGTACCACTATCCTGCAGCTCGGTTCCCATGCATTTTCGAGCGGAGAGAGTAGCACGCTACTGAAATTGAGGACCCGTTCGCCTCGCACAAGCCGGGGACCGTCCTTAGGTGGGTGTACAGTTTGTCTTTAACTCAAGATGGAAAGGAGCCCTTCGAGCCCAGCTGTAAGTAAAATTGTAAGTAGAGTATACATAAAAGACAATGGAGTACACTAGACTAGTTTCCAAGAACAGGGAAGTCCAATGTGTATAGGGTATTCCCGCGGATGAAGGGGCGTGTCAGGTAGTATGAGTGTGCCACGGCGCCAAACCCGTTCTCTGCCAGCTGCTGAAGCAGGTATGCGACAACATTTGGTAGAAAACGAGGAAAACGATAAAATACAGTCTTGCTCGCTTCAGCAACTGGTGAAAAACAGGTTTGGCACCGCGCCAAACTCATTTCGCCTGACAGTTCCTTCGTCCGCGGTGAAGTAGACGGTACATACCTTCGCCATTTGTACAATGAGAGGTGATTGTTCCGCAATCTTCTCGCCAAGCTTCACCGCTTCATCTACTACTTGCTCAGCTGGGTATACCTGAACATTGACTAGTTCCAGAAGTTGTCAGTTGATAAAGCAGTTCATAAAATCATAGGTGTTCTTATGAATAAGAAAACTGAACGACCAGAACTAGCCTTTGAAACGATTCCACATTCCTTCGCCTCTTGAGCGCTAACTCGGTTACCTGTCAGACAGACTTCCATTGCCATGGATTTACCGGCGACACGAGCCCAACGTTGGGTTCCACCAGCTCCTTAACATG